TCGAGATTGGATTACTGTAATGCTCTCTACATAGCGCTGCCCTTGTCCCAAATCCAGAAGCTCCGGCTGGTGCAGAATGCAGTGGCAAGGCTGTTGTTGTGGCTCCCCATGCGGGAACACATCCAGCCTGCCCTAAAAGCATTGCACTGGCTGCCCACAGCATACCGGATTCAGTTCAAGATGCTGGTTCTTACCTTTAAAGCCCTATATGGTCAGGGACCTACTTACCTAAGGGACCGCCTTTTCCCACATGTTCCCCAGAGAGCACTAAGATCGGGCTCCCAAAATCGTTTGGCCTTTCCAGGCCCTAAAGAAGCCAGGCTAGCTGTGACGAGGGCCAGGGCCTTCTCTGTGGCCACCCCATACTGGTGGAATGAGCTCTTGGAGGACATCAGGGCCCTGAGGGACCTGTTACAGTTCTGCAGGGCCTGTAAAACGGAGCTCTTCCACCAGGCCTTCAACTAGGGTGCCGCTTCCGAATATCATGGCCCTCGTCACCACTATGGGGCTCGGTTTGAGCCGGAGCGGGCCAGAGCAGCGCTCCGGCAGTTATGGAAGGCACCACCCAGCCCTGCCTCTTCCCAAGTGGCCAGCCCCTCGACTCGCTGTGGGACCAGCTCCTAAAACTCTTGGCTCCTCACGTCTCCCCTGGTCCTGCCTCCTCACTTCCCACCACCCGCCTCCTTGGAAGTGGCAAGCTGGGATTCAAGGCAGCGGGCAGGAAGAGCGAGGCCCTCACGCGGTCCACTACTTGTAAACTTTGCAACTGGGACTAGAGGAGAGGGCCCGGAGCTCTGCCACAGCAGCTTGCCCGCTCAGCCTGGCAGCAGCTGCGGCAAGAGCCGGGGCGACGGTGCCGGGACCAGCAGTATGCTCCTCCCACAGTGTTCTCCTCCTCACTCCGTGTTGAGGTGCCTCCCGGCCCCGCTCGCCTCGCAATGGCCGCCCTGCTCTTCAGAGCCTGAGCATGTTTCCCCTCGCAAGTGAGGTGCCCCATTTGAAATCTGCATGACTTCATGCTTTGGGAACTGTGGCTTGGGAGCTCTCCTCAGACTCGTCCCCCGGGAAGCCAGGGACACAGAGGAATAGTTTGAAGCCCGCAGCCTCCTGAATGCACCGATCCTAGGCTGGGATCCTGACAAAGGTGGGAACTTCAGGCTAGAAGCCGCCAGGGCACCTTTCCACCCATTCCCTCCAGTCCAGCTTAACCCCAATTCACTCCTCTGGCCGCACTGCCTGCTTGTTACTGGCTCGGTTGGCTCGGGAACATGGGAGGCAGCAAGTCCGAAACGGGACAGAGCGCCTCAGTGGCTCTCTGGAAGTCCGTCCTCTCTGTTTGCAGTCATCTCCCATGAATTTCTCTCCCCCCACCCCCGTGTTGCCTGCCTCTCACTTGTGAGGGAAAACGTGTGCAGGCACAGAGGTGTGCGTGGGGCGCCTTTTTGCCGCCATTCCATTCCCTGTTCCCGCAGTTGTGATGAGGCCAGGCATCGCCCCCAGAGAGCTTCTTTGGATGCCCCCCGCCCAGCTTCTTCGGCCTCCTTCTCCCTGCATGGCTACACTGCTGCCCCATTGTTTTCTACATCCCTTGAAGGCCCCCCTAACCGAAGTGATCACTCCATTCCCGCCCGGTGGACATTCGCCACCCCAGTGCGTCCTTGGCTGCTGCTTAGTGAGGGCGAGGCAGACTCCCGTGCTGCTCCCAGGGGCAGACTCCCGTGCTGCTCCCAGGGGCCGTGAAGAAAAACCTGCTTGAGCGAAGGGGGTCACCCTCTGAGTCCGCCAGGCAAGACAAACAAGGGAGTTCAACATGGCCTTTCCTGATCATTCTCAAGCCCGGAGTTTGGCCAGCCTCCAAGCGGTATCCATGCTGGGAGAGCTCTCATGGGAGGAGTGCTAACTCCCCTCCCCCTTTGGTTTGCCTAAATTAGCTAATATGTACAGTATACTCTTAGGGCGGTAAAATGCTTTTATATCTGAAAATTGGTGTGCGCACGGGGAGCGCGCGCCAGAAGTTAGCCATGGCCCTAGCCTGGGGGAGAGGGCCTGTAGCCCTGCCGGTGCAGCAGTCGCTTGCCCGCCCAGCCTGGCAGCAGCCGCAGCAAGAGCCGGGGTGGCAGTGGCACCAGCACCAGCGTGCTCATCCTGCAGCCTCTTCCTCCTGCCTCTGTGTCCAACTGAGCGCAAAGGGGGGTGCAGGTGAGGTCGCTCCCTGCAAGGAGAGCTGTGGTGGTGAGAAAAAGCTTCCTCTTTTGGGGTGAGGAGGGGAAAGCAGCGTCAGCAGCCCACACTTCTTCCCCAGAGTGCCGCTTCCTCGCCGCTGCCTCCCAAGCAGCCCGCTACCCCATGCCCAGCGCTGAGCTGGAGGAGCGCTTTGCCCACGTCCTGGTGAGTCCCCCCGCAGGTGCTGCCGCCTTCCCTGAGCGTGAAGCACGAGAAATATAACTGGCTGTACATTCACTTGATCCTTTAGCTTCCTATGGAGTTGCATACTGTGGTTTAGTTTACAGTTACAGATCCACACTGATCCAACTAGGATAGATAAACAGTGTATGCTAAGGGTTATAATGAAGTTTGAATCGACCCCCTCAATTGATGACAGCTAAGGCAATGTCCTATCCCCTCCCCTTCCTTACAACAAACTTGTAAAATGTTATTTTCACAAAATCTCTCTTTAAGACAACACTTTTATGTACCATGATATAGATCTCAATGTTTTATTCTCCTTTTTCAGTACAACTTATAGTGAACAAACTATATTGTGCTCTTTGCCTTGGATGCTTTCAAACCTTTATAAAATCTTCTGATTTTCCTCCAGTCCAGACAGCAGCACTTAGTGGATTTTAAGGAGGGTGGGTCCCAAGCTTTTATTGTCATTGTAAGACAAGTTGCTCCTTGAGAATCCCAGGTGTTTGGCAGTATGTTTAGATTGGGGACATATCCCAGAGAAAGCAGAAATGTGATTTTTATTTTATTTTTTACAGTGCCTATTTAGATTTGGAAACTGAACAGCTGTTGCATTTCATTCTTCGTTGAAATTTCTGTTGAAATTTCGAAAACAAAGCCATCCCCATATCTCTGTACCATTTGATTGGTATGGGTTCAGTATACTTGTTTTTTCCCATAAGACTTTTTTCTGCTTTTTCTTGTGAGGTGTTAACTGCACATCCTTAACTGTAATTGTAAAGATTACCACCTTTTCCTGCGTCCTCCAGGCAGCAGGCAGAAGTTCAAGAGGAGATGCTTGCCCATAGCGCTTTTAAAATGGGGGAGTAAAAACACTTAAACTTTGCCATCTGTCCTGCAGAGGTAATTAAGATTACAGCAGTTACATTTTGTTTAGGATGTGAACTGCTCCACTCAGTAGAGGGGGGGAAATTAGAGGGAACATTGCTCACCCCCACCCGGGCAAGTAGAGACAAGCCCCAGGCACTGGAAAGCGAATGAGCAGTGGCAAACTGTTTGCTTCCTTCTCTCCCTCACAGAAGGTAAAGGTGGAGTGAAGGACTCTCACGAGACACGATCTTTTGAGGGGAGAAGAACCGGTCTGCTGCTTGAGGCAGCAAGAGTTTATTATATCCACACTGCCCTCACCGTAAGATGAGGCTGTGGCTTACAATACTGAAGCAAGGGAAAAGAGATGCTCAGGCAGAATCCCTGGAACGCTTGCATAGCATAATTACTAGTGATAACAAGCTACCCCTGGCACCTTAAGCTGCTTGCAGTGACAAGATGGGCTAAGGTCAGGATTAGTGTACCAAAGTCACTGATCAACCATGTTAACAGAGGCAGGATGTAGAAGAGAATCAAGATTGGTGTGCCATATCGTTAATCCTCCCTTACAGTGGAGGGAGGAGGACATTCTGGCATTTGTCAGCATGCCGTCGCCAGGAAGTGACGCTGGGCGGCGCTCTGGCAATGGGGCTGAATATTCGATGGTACCATTGAGTTTCAAGCCCCATTGCCAGAGTGTCACCCAGCGTCACTTCCTGGCGACAGCATGGTGCGGTGCGTCTGTTGTCCCCGCAGGAATGATCCTGCAAAGACGTCTGTGTCCCCCGCCGAATCATGGTAAGTACTTGGGGAGCCTGGTTGGAAAATACCTGGAGATTTTTGGGGTGGAGCCGGAGCGGTGGGTGTTGCCTTCGGACACATTTCCGGTGATGTCAGGGGGTGTGGCATATGCAAATGAGTTATTCTAATGAGTTATGCTAATGAGCTCCTGCACCTCTTTTTCTACGAAATAACACACACACACACACACACACACTTTCTGTGAGCCACCCTGAGCCTGCCTTGGCAGGGAGGGCGGGATACAAACAAACAAACAAATATCTGTATCTATCTATCTAGGCACATTTTCTGGAACATTTTCCCTCTTTTCCTCTCTGTTTGCTTAATTGGAATTGCTTTACATTGTGCTGATGTTTTCAGAGACTACAGAATCTGTATCTATCTATCTAGGCACATTTTCTGGAACATTTTTCCTCTTTTCCTCTCTGTTTGCTTAATTGGAATTGCTTTACATTGTGCTGATGTTTTCAGAGACTACAGACACAGATTAGGTGATACCCTTTTTGTGTGAGAAGAGCAGCTAATTCAGAATAAAAGTGAATTTTGGTTATTTTTAAAATATGGACCGCCTTGAACTAACCCTGCCATTTCAACCTTTCATTCACCTGTTATGTGATAGTTTTGTAATATCTTGTAGTTAGCCTTAGTCTGAACTATCTTGTAGTATCTTGTACTTTTCGACAGTAATGGAACTAGAAAGCTGGCACTTGCATCACAGTGAGATCGGCTAAGCTGTTCTTTTGACTGAACACAATCTGTGTGGTCCCTGCTGTTTGGCTGGCAACGCAGTGCATTCACTGGATTTGCAGGAACCAATATCACCCTCTGCAAAGCTGCACGCATGTCAATGAGGGGAGGAATCCAAGAAGAGCCAAACAGAAAAGACAGAAAGACATCTCTGTAAACATTTCTTTATTAAGGTGTAAATGGAAAACTGAAGCAGGAAAGGGTGCCGGTGTGAAGGCTGCCAGGACAGAGCTCCTCGTGAAGCAGAATATCTACTTGTGCTGCTGCCTCACGTGGCAAGAATATCAACCCCCAAGTCCACCAAACTCAGATTTCCATCAGCTGTTCGGTACCCATAATAATTTCATTAATGTGTTTAGCTGCAAGAGAGAAAGGGAACACGATCTATAAGTTACAACCAATGCCTTTTCAAATTAAATGTAGGATAGGACATGATGTGTGTGTGTGTGTGTGTGTGTGTGTGTGTGTGTAGAAATAGATTGCTGTGTTACAACAAACCTGTTTATTCCACCAGAGACAATTGATCAAACAGGAGAAGGTGACTCTAACATGACTGTTTACAAGCATGTGTCACTGCCACTAAACAACAAAGGCAGAGAGGAACCAGCAGCTGTGGCTGACAGGTGCATATATGGGCACTACCTTGGAACCACACAGGACCAAAGGAAGGTAGTGCTGTGGAAATGAGAGTACAGCTTAGTCTGCCTCCCCCTCCTCAACTCCCTCTTGGCAAGGAGCTGAAACCTCTTCTGTGTTAGCCCTCTACTGAACTATGCTCAGATTTACCAGAAATAAAGGGCTATCTAGGAGACTTCAGTCCCAGGTCGAGAGGCAGTTCTTTTCAGCTGGCTTTACCCCTTTTTCAGTATCCAGATAGGCTTTTGCAAATTCTCCATCTCCCCAGAAATGTCTTACCAGGCTGTCTTTTATTTGCCATTGGCAGGGTTACAGATGCATTCAAGCCACAAAGAAAAGAGAGGGATTAAAGAAGGTACTTTTCAAAAGGGTCCCAGAATTTGGACTCCACTTGGCACAATTGTTTCTGACTGTGAGCATCTGTGCCAAGCAGATCCAGAGCCCACATCAAAATTTTTGATTAGCACTTGGTGAGGGAGCAGTGCCTGGCCCATTTGTTCTGGGTGCTCCAACCTGAATGGCTTGGAGAATGGTGTGACTTGTTACACAGGAATTTCTGGTGGGAACTGATGAATGCTGCAACAATCAAGCTCCTTGGAAAACACAGGCTGAGAGAGCTCGGCAGAAATCTTGGGACCTAGCAGGCTGCTGAGCTTCGGTGACAAATAAACTGTAACTTGAATAAACACAGTCACAGAAATGACTCTGCTGCAGCAAAAAAAAACCTCCACCATGGCATGAGCATTAATGGCAAAGTATTTTCCTCCACCTGACAGCAGATGTTTGCTGGCAGTCTCCCTCTTTGAGAGCCCTGCCTTTGGGAGGGATATGAAAGTATCTCCTTGTTGTTTGCTCAGTTAGCCTCAGACAGATCGCTAGTGGTGGCGGCAAGGCTGAGTTGGGAATGAGGAGGAGGAGGAAGGCAGGGAGAGAAGGGGTTACGGCCAAACCCCAGGACCACCACGAAGTTTCAGCCCTAAGGGTGTCCAGAAAAGGTTCAGTTTACTCACTCAATTACATACACTGTTTTATAAACCCTTTAAAATAAAATAGAAAACAGTCCCTGGCACAGAATTACTGCTCTATTATATACCAGTGATGAAAGACTCTGCTGTGTATTTCCACTCTTTAAAAGCCAGAGATCGTTTAAATAATAATAATAATAACAATATTTTAAATAGGGAACAAGGAAGGGGAGGGTGGAAACGAGACTGCAAGAAATGCATACACAAAAACACACTGTGGGTGGCTCCAGCTGGTGCTTCCCTAGGAGAGACAGAGCAACTCTTCTCTCCCAAACTGGCCTAGTGGATGTGAGCTGGAATGAAGGGGATACCCACCAAGGTTTCAGGACACAGGGAGCAGCTGCAGCAAGAGGTCAGGAAGCAGGATAGCTCTGGAAGAGCCATGTGGTGATAGAGAGGAGAAACAGGTGGTGAGGCTGGCTTGTTTATGCTGGTAGGGTGAGTGGGGTCTTCTAGTGAATACTTGCTCTATTCCTCTCAGGCTTTATTTAGACAGTTACAGTTGTGGTAGAGCCACAAAGGCCTCACACTGTTTACAGGACTGTATGGTACAGCTCTCAGAACCCAACTCTCGGGAGCAACTGCAGCTCACAGAATGCAATTCTCCACTTAGATTTGAGGCTTCATGAGCTGGCAAAAGCAACCTTTGGGTGTTGGTTGAGGGCCCTGGAATATTCTCAGGGGAAAGAGTTGCTTAATAGACCTATTAAAACAAGCCATATTTCTTTCATTCACAAGCCTGGTAACAAGCCAAAGTATCCACTAACAAAATATCTCCACTAAAACAATAATCTTTAGCCTCCTGCTAGAGGACAACCATTTTGTTGTGGCCTAAGATCAAGGAAGGTATCTCTATGCAGAAGAATGCTTTGCCAAGCCATGATTACATTGTATCTGGTTACTAAGTCTTCTTGCACAAAACTTGGAGCCTGGGGAAAAGAGCAATATTTTATCCTACAGCAAGGTAGTGAAGGTGTTAGTGGGCAGACCCCTCCTCTTATTGAGGGGTAGTTTGCATGCGAACACCCTTTGTTTAATAACATCCCAGAGTCATACATGCCATGCAGTCTGGCCGAAAAACACACAAAAATGGATGCCAGTTTAACAGGCCAGAGAGACAGACATGTCTGGGCGCAGATTCTGGAAGGTGTAATGTCAAGGTGTCTGACCCCACTGCGACCTTCCTCCCCACTCTAAATGGTATGCATTACTTGGAACAATGGGATTCCCAGAATAGGTTGCCTCAACCCAAATTAACTTCGGACCATATCCTATCAACTATGGGGACCTCAGTTTCCCCTTCCCACTCCTACCTTTCAATAGCAATGCTTAACACTGACAGCTTTCCCAGCCAGTACAATGGATAGGTCATCAAGCAGCACTTTGCATTAAACACACAACTATAAGCCACCATAGTTTGCCCCAGATGAAGCAACCAGGGCTTCGCCCAAAACATTGTTCATCTCAGGACGAACGCATCAGGAGTATTGTTTTGGGAGCACCCACATCATCCTGCCCTAGGGAGAATTTTCCCTATAACTGGGCTTTTCCGAGCCTCGGTTGTGTGTGTGTTCTCCTGGATCCAGACCTCAAGCCCAAAACGCAGATTGCTTTGTCCTTGCTCTTCTGGGGACTTCGTCCCTCTAGCTAGGTAAATATCACCCACCCCCAATCTATATCCCTGCTACTCTGTTTTATCTTTGTTAGCCTTGTATGTGAGTTCCCTTGTGTGCTCTTGTGTATGATTTGCTTTTTCATTCTCTTAAGATAAAATCCTTTCCATTTAATTTGGACTGGTTTATTTCAAGAGTTCTCAAGGGGAAAATCCCCATAAACGCTGGTGGAGATCTTGCTTGTTACCCCCTCTTGCAAGCTCTGTCTCCTTAGCTAACTCCCCCAATTAAAAGGAGGCCGCCCATATGGGTAACAAAGGCATGGCCAGAAGTTAGTTTCCAAAGATATGTTGAAACTGAGGGACTAACTACATGCTATGAAGTCCTCATGTCTCGTCTGAGTCCACGATGAAGACTTTCAATCAGACCTGTGGCGCAAGTTCCGTGCTTGGAATTCAATTCCTAGGCATGTACAGATCCTGTTCAAAACAGGACTGCAGTATACATGGAGAGGGACTTTATGCTCCTCCCCTCATACCTTTTTCCGGACATGAAAAAGCCCTGGGGAGTCACTCACTGGGGAAATTTACATGTATGTATCAGTACATATAACCTCTGCCAATGAACCAAACAATGACTCCCCAGGGCCATTTCAGCTTGGGAAAATAGCATTTGGGGTGTGTGTGTCAGATGGGAAGACTTAAGTCCCCACTTCTTGTGAGCAGCACTCCTCTCTCTGTGTGCCTGGGAACTGAGTTCCGAGCACAGAACTCAAAAAACCACATGTCCCTTGAAAGTCCTTGCAGTGGACATGAACAGGATGCAAGGACTTTGTAAAAGTGTAGCTAGGCCCTGAAATATCTATTAATCTGATTGTGGCAAAACATAAGCTCAAACCCCAGATGTAATCTGACTAAAGGCCATAGGTTGCACTTACTGGAGAGGAGGAGAACAACGCAGAAACTATGCCCATAATCCTGGAGAAGGACTGCTGGCTTCCCAATCACTTATACTAAAGGAGGCAGAGCTGGCAGATGAAATCTAGGGGCATGCAAAGGAGGGAAGGGTGGGATTTCCAGCTTTGAAAAATGCACCGATTAATGGATAATCAGTACCATGAGAGAGACTGGGAAGTGTGACCCTGTGGACTGTCTTGGGTCTCTTAGGGACATCTGATATCATAAAAAATGGCATCATTCTGGAGTGGGAAACACCACACTTCACTGATTGCACTCTTAATCTGTTGGAAAGCTTGGATGAAGGCTAATACCTGAACTGAACTTCAGTTTCAGACAGAAGGGCTGTTGGTAAGTGATTATATCAAGATGATGGAGTCTCCCTCACTCTGGATGGGTTTCCTTCTCCCTTAAGCAGCAAGGGCACAGTTCCTTCTCCCTTAAGGATCCAGCTCAGGTAGCATTCATGGCACAAATAACTGTGATAAGCTATGGCCAGTCCCTCAGTGGTGGCCCCTAGAGGACAGAAATAGTCTTGCTATGGTTATCCACATTCAGGTGGCATCCAGGCTTGATTCCTGTAACAGGATATACACAGGGCTACCTTTGAAGATGCTTCAGAAATTACTCCTGATTCAGAAGCAAATGGCTACACTGCTGGAGAGCCAGTGTGGTGTAGTGGTTAGAGTGCTGAACCTGGACCTTAGGAGGTTAGAATCCCCACTCTGTCATGGAAGCTTGCTGGGTGGTGGCAGGCCAGTCACATACTCTCAGCCTAACCTCCTACGCAGGATATTGTTGTGATGATAAAAATGGTGGTGAGGAGCATGATGTAAAGCCACTTTGGGTCACCCTTAGGGAGAAAGGCAGGTTATATGTTAAGTAAAATAATAACCATTGGGAACACATTTCCCCTCTATTTGAAAGACCTTAACTGGCTTCTAGTTCATTTCTGGGCACAGTTCGAAGTGTTGGCATCATCCTACAGAGCTGTAAATGTTTTGGAATTGGTGTATCAAGGACCATTTGCTCCCATCTGAACCTGCTTTAGGATGGGATCTGCATCAGAGGCCCTTCCACAAGTGCCTCCACCTTCAGGTGTTAGGTGGGTAGCTAAGGGAGAGAGTATCTTCTCTGTGGCGGCACCCCAGCTGTGATACTCCTCCCCAGTCAAGTTTGCCTGGCCTCTTTTTAGGTGCTAGTTTTGTTCACCTATGCTTTTAACCAATAGGCGTGATGCCTCCACTTTTGAGTTCTATTATCTGTGGTTTTAGTGTTGACTCTTACTTGTTTTAAGGCTGGATTATCCTATGCATCACCAGTGGAACATGCTGGTGAAAGAGAACTTGTCTTTCTTTCCCCTTCACCCAGCAGTCCTCTGTGTTCTGTAACGGTGATGTCAGATCATTACAGTAGTCAAGTCCAGAAAGTTTGACTTGGATCTCCTATGTACAAGCAAAGTCTCCTCTGTTTAAGAAGGGCAAGAGTCCAGGCAACAAAATAAGTTGGTAAAAAGCACCCCTGGCTATCACAGATGTCTTATCAAAAATCAGTGCAGATTCAAAACAGGAGGATGAACAAATAAGTGAACCCCTGATGACATGACGGATGTCCGTATCCACTCAGGGGAAATGTTAGAGGTCAGTACCATCAGCTGTACCATCAGGGCTCATTCATTTGCTTGTCTGTCTACATTGCCCCTTCTGCTCTCTACGTAAGACAAACAGGTCAGTTTTTATGCAAAAGAATAAATGGAAACAAATCTGATATTAAAAGGTAATATTCAGAAAACTGAGAAAACATTTCAGTTTTTCAGGACACACTGCTGTGGACTTACTTTTCAACTAATGAACTTCAAAGGGAGAATGCAGTGTAAAACTGCAGAATGAGGATTCATTAAGATGTTTGACTGTTTTTTCTGAGACTTGCACAAAGACCACTTGAATGACATATGTCACAATCTGGAATTCTTGTATTCCATGGCCTTTTGAACTTTCTGTTTACAACTTTTTTCATCCATAACATATGTCTGTCTGTCTTTGAGAATTTACTTCAAGCACTGGAGGAAGTGCTCTATTAACATTCTCATCTGTGTCAGGCACATTTTAAGGACTCCTCGGCCCACTTCTCAGGTTGAAGGAGGAAATCAGACTAGGAGATTAATGAGAATGCAAACTTGCCCTGGCCTGGATAGCTCAGGCAAGCCCGATCTCATCAGATCTCAGAAGTTAAGCAAGGCCGATCCTGGCAAATATTTGGATGGGAGACCTCCAGAGAACACCAGGGCTGGGAGGCCAGAGGCAGGCTATCAAACCACTTCTCTGAATGTCCTCCGTGCCCCAGCAGGAGTCACCAGAGGTCACCACGACTTCCACGTACACATGCACACACACAAATACCAAAAATGGGGGGGGGGATGATGATGCAACCTCTTGTAGAGTGAGTTTTCCTTACATTGCTAGAGAGCCATGCAGGTGCAAATGCCACTACTGGGGCTGCATGTACAAAGCCCCTCTTGCCAGCTCCTAAGCGTTAAATTTCCTACAATCTTCCAGATGCATAGTTGCTGTTATACAAATATCATGGGATGATGTGGACAATTAACAACAGGTTCTCTGACTCATATTTGCGGTTTACAAAGAACCTCAGGCTACAGAAAACCATTTGCTGTTGTGGTAAATTCTAGCCCAGGACAGATCTCTGTATTCAAAATCTGGTCTCTTGACCTCTCTACAAAAATATGATCATTAGCGCAGAAGAGCTAAGAGACCTTTGGATTAAAGCCTCTGGCTTCCTCCAAGAAAGTAAAATTGGACCACAACATCCTGCCAACTTTGGGTTATGGCAAATCAGCTAGGTGGGTTACATAGGCCCCGGTCACATGGGCCGGATATCGCGGGGGGGGGAGGCGTGGCTACTTGCCCCGGCGCAGTTTGATCCGCGATTACGCGATCAGACATGCCAGCGGCACACCACGGGTCCTTCCCTCGGCGCCGGCGGGTAAACAAGGGACCGGAGGGGAATGCCGTGCGCCGGCGCAATCACACCACGGGAGTCTGGAGGCAGCCCGTGGCAAATGTTTACTAGTACTTTGGATGTACTCGTTTTTTAATGCGCATTTTCGGCAGTAAGCCACGGGTGTGCTCCACTTCCCAGATGTTGGGGTGTGATCTCGCCAGGATAATCTGCCCACCATCCGTGCCTCTCCCACGGCAACTTTGCCGTGTGACCGGGGCCCAAAATGGGCAATGGGAAGCTATAGCTGGTTTTTCTTCAAAAGTCCTAGTTCCTTAGTGTCTAAGATAGGGTTGCCAGGTCTAGGTTGGAAAATACCTGGAGACTTTGAGGGTGGATCTGGGAGAGGGTGGGATTTGGGGAGGGGAGGGGCCTCAGCATGGTACAATGCCATTGAGTCCATCCTTCAACGCAGCCATTTTCTCCAGGGGAGCTGATCTCTGCCAGCTGGAGATCAGTTGTAAAAGCGGGAGATCTCCAGGCCCCACCTGGAGACTGGCAACCCTAGTCTAAGACTATTAGCAAATGAAAAGTTCATCCAAATCCCTAGCTCAAAGTAACCAGAACCAAGACAAACCTCTCAAAGTGTTGCAGCACCATCAAAAAGAACTGGAAGGTTTAGAATGAATCTGAATGAGAATTTGTAATGTGAAAAAGTTAGAATGAGATGAATTTGCAGAAACACTGTATGGTTAAGCAACAGGAGACTATGAAGAATCACAGGAACAGCTTGTGGAAGCTATTTAGCTCATCTGCAGGACATGGTACATTAGCAGTATCATGTTAAGTTTAAGTAAAACATTAGCAGTATCATATTAAGTTTAAGTAAAAGGTAAAGGTAAAGGTTCCCATGCCAGTCGAGTCGGACTCTAGGGTTGTGGTGCTCATCTCCGTTTCGAAGCCGAAGAGCCAGCGCTGTCCGAAGACGTTTCCGTGGTCATGTGGCTGGCATGACTAAACACCGAGGCGCACGGAACGCTGTTACCTTCCCACCGAAGTGGTACCTATTTATGCAATTTCTTGCTTTCGGACTGCTAGGTTGGCAGGAGCTGGAACTAGAGACGGGAGCTCACTCCGTCATGTACAGGTCCTTTAATGTCTGTTTGGGTACTGGTCAGTGTGAGCAGACTTGGTAAAATTAGATTGCTCTTGAGATCCCTTCTCATCTGAGTGAAGTGAGTATAGGAATATTAAAATGTGAGTAGTTAAAGAACAGAAAGAGAGATATATATATATATTCTTGGGGGCTCTTCTTCATTCTGGGCTCCCCACCACATGCTGTAGCCAGGGATGAGCATGGGATTTTTCTAATGGTGGATTTTAGAAGACTGATTACTCATTGCTTTAAAATGTTACCCAACCCAAATTTGGGGGGGTATGGTAGGACAAAAATATGAATGAAATAATGAAGAAATACTGGCAACCAGAGAGCCTGTACAGTCACTATCATGACTTACTAAATTGATTTATGCCCAAACTAAAAGACAAAATATACTATAAACACTTCTGCAACTAGAGGTATAAACTGTGTATATAAAGCCAGCCAGCCTTTCCATTGTATGCAGGTAAAACCTAAAAACCACACTGCTTGAAAGAAAAGAAAAAAGAGCACAAGGCATCCATTCCCACCACAAAACAAACAACTTAATACAATACTTTTATAACAGCTCCACATGCAAAACAACAAATCACCAAATTCCCCTTAACAGATATTAATTGTCAAGACCTGGGTTGAGAGCAAATTGTTAGCCAGCCTGTCCACTGTCAAGATTGGGTTCATCCGTTCTGTTTAAGCAGTTGCCAGACCTGTAGTATAAATTTCTTTCTAGAGCCCAGCCCTCATGCTCCAAATGAGGCTGATGGGGCTGGTTTTTATTTCATACCTCGGTGCTGCTTCACCTTGACATCACGGCATGTCTCCTGGATTCAGGCAGAAAGCAGCATGTTGCCCCCTGTAGTCTCTACTGGCAACACTTTCAAAGATCTCAGAGGCTGCACTGTGTAATTTTCAAGCTGCTTGTGTCCAGAAGACAAGCTTGTGATATACACACACATGTGCCTGTATGGCAGCAGATACTTTCAAACAGCTGAAATCAGTCCCAGACTGGTGCCGTTTCAGGGTATCACGGCTCTAAAGAGCCAGTGTGGTGTGATGATCCCAGTATCATTCTAGGAGCAAGGAGATCCCGGTTCAAATCCCCACTCAAGCCATGAAGCTCACTGGGGGAATAGGTCGGTATCTATAGCCTAACCAACTTCACTGGGTTGTTGTGGCAATAAAGAAGGGTGGGCATGCATGCCACACTCTGATCCTTGGGCAAAGAACAATACAAAAATGTAAAAACAGAAACATGACAGTACAACATGACAGGGATCAGGTGGTGGGTATGTAGACTGACATTCTACACCAGTTTGGTGTAGTGGTGAAGTGCGCGGACTCTAATCTGGGAGAACCGGGTTTGATTCCCCACTCTTCCACTTACAGCTGCTGGTGTGACCTGGGGTCAGTCACAAGCTCTGGCACAGCTGTCCTTGGAAAAGAGCAGTTTGTGCCAGAGTTCTCTCAGCCCCACCCACCTCACAGGGTGTCTGTTGTGGAGAGGGGAAGGGAAAGGAGTTTGTAAGCCGCTCTGAGACTCCAAGTGAAGGGCGGCGTATAAATCCAATATCGTCTTCTTCTTCTTCTTCTAAATGACTCACCACACCCACTGCTATGCTGCATGTCTGATCAATATGCATTCCACCAATCATATTTGCTCTGGCTTGACCAGTGATGGTTTGGGGCATGTGATGATAGCCACAGTTAACTGACAGCTCCTTGTATCTGCTAAATGAAAAGCTTTGCTGCTGTCTTTACTTAGAGAAGGATTCATCTGTATACCACTCTTATTTCATGAAGTTATATTTACAACCACTCTGGCCAATTAAATCCATATACTCTCTCTAGTTCACTTGCATACTGATACAGTTGAGAAAGGATAAAAAAAATTCTGGAGGAGATAATGGGTTAGGAATACCAAGCCTTTTGACTACCACCAGTTGAGTAAAAAGACCATTCATTTTGCTTACATTTGGGTTCCAGGTGCTGGCTGTTTCCAATCAGACAGTCTTTGATGTCAGCTCCTTTCTCTATCACTGCATTTTGGCATATGACACAATTCTGTAGACTACACCTGTAATATAAACATAAATGGGAATTTAAAATGCAGCTGGAAATCAGATCAAGCACAGTAGCAGCTACTCAAACCAACCAGTACCATAACAGCCAAGGACATCAGGGGATAATTTGTGGATATGGGTTGAACTATGTGTGTTTGTGTATGGGAAGGACCTATGATATAAAACCCGTTTTACTCTAGATTCCAGCCTTCTCTTTTCCCAGCCTTGGTGCTTAGTTGCTATGACAGTTCTACTGCCAGATGTCACAAAGGATGCACACAAAGGGACACCTTTCACATCCAGGATACTTTTCTATTTGCAGCCCTACAGCCTTGCACAGCCCCCCCCTTTGTATTAGGATAAATATTGCCCCTGACTTTGTATTCATGCACATACAAATACCCTGTGATGTTAAACCAACAAAAGCCATGGTAATAAAGCCTGGAATGCTCTCTGGTTCATAGATTCCCAATTGGTGCAACCTTGTTCACACTACTTTCTAGAATAACGAGGACATAGCCTATATGGAGAAGGGTAGCTTACCTTTCTCAAACTCTTTGCAAAGGATAATTTTAATTTTCAATGTGGTTGGGGATAAAGAAATAACCCCCATTTTTAGTGCCTGGCCTGTCAAAATCACACACATGTGCTGCAGTGCATCTTTTCCTATCTGTCCCTTGAGAATCCACCATTAGACACAGCAGGGATCAATCTCCCACATACTGGAAATGTTCACTGACATTAAACTGTCCTTTCACACATACAACAGTCCAGTAATGGAAACTTTCATTGTGTACGAGCTAGTGTTGGAAAAAGAAAATTAAATCTCAGGTATCTAGCTACTTATGGATGCAGTATGATAATAATAACAACTTCAGTGTTTCTAACACTGATGGAAACAGAAAATAAGTGGGTATAGTAATTAAGAAACCACATAGCCTATTTTTAGCAAGGATGCTCACTGCCTTGCATCTGCAGAGTTGACGAAGCACTCATGTCTATACTAATATTGTGCAATACCAGATCAGTGAAGCACAAACTGCTCACCTCTATGGGATGTTGCAGGAAGAAGAAATTAACTTGGCTTGGGTAACAGAACTGTGGTTGCAAGGAAATGACATGGCATCTCTGTCCCTACTAACACACCCTGGTTACATGGCCTTCCACTAGCCCTGCATACTGGCCATGGGAGGAGGCATGGCTATAATCTCTGTGAAACTTTCAACTTCCTCAGACTTTTAGTGCAAAGTATCACTGGCATTCACTGTATACTCCTTACATTAGAAACTAAGGCTAGATTAGGCATTCTGCTTGTCTACTGGTTCCCCAGTGGGCCCCCCCCCTCTGAGTTGGCAGAGGTACTGTCGGATGTGGTGCTGGAGACTCCTAGACTTATGTTCTAGAGGACTTCAACATTCATGCTGACAACACCTCACGAGGACTGGGCCAGGAATTTATAGCTTCCTTGACTGCCTTGGATCTCTGCCAAAGCATGACTGGCCCAACACATGAAAGAGGTCACACCCTGGACTTTACCTTTTCATTGAGTCTTTGATTAAAGGTTTGGTTTCAGGGCTGGATATTCATCCTGAACTATGGTTTAACAACTACTGCCTGCCTAAAGCCAAGTGAATGTGGCTCCAACATTTTGCATGAGAAGGCACCCAGTTAAAATGGTCTGCCCATGGAGGCTCATAAATCCTACTGGATTCCATAATGCTTTGGGGGATGTTAGTCTTCCAAACATGTATTCTGTTGAGGCCAGAGTGGAAACATGAAATGTGAAGTTCCTTGAAACGGTCACCAAGGTTGCCCCTTGGTGACCTCTCCTACCCATGGGATGAAACCCAGCCCCCTGGTATACCACAGAGCTGGGTGATCTGAAAAGGTTTGAGAGACACGTAGAATGGTGCTGGTGGAGAAACTGTGCTGAATCTGACAGATAATACTACAAAGCAGCAGTAATGGCAGCAAAGAAAGGTTGTTTCTCTACTATTATAGCATCAGCTATTCACACCCATTCCAATTGTTCACTGTACCTCAACATTTGCTGATGCCTAAATCTGAGCCTCTAACATACCAGGAACAGGCAATTAGCTCTGCTATGATGGGAAATTACAAATTTTAACTGGGTCCAAGTCACTGCTAACTCCTTTCTTTATTGATTGACCACAACGAAGGAAAATATTTATTCTGAAGAAAGTTCAAGATATTGACTAGGGGTGTGCAAAAAACAAACAAACAGTATTTTTGGGGGTTGGGTATATTCAACCCGAAAAATATCAGTATTTTCTGATATTCCCGAATCCCAATACTGGTATTTATTTATTTAACTTTCGGCTTATATACCGCTCGAACCTCGAAGGGTTTCTGAGCGGTTTACATATTATTTATAGTACCTATCTAGGGCCACATTAACAGGGGAAGTGATTGCCTACCAGCACCCAGGCAGCAGAACGGGTTCTTGTTGTTATTCGGCTTCTTATTCCGGCGGGCTTCGGCTGTTGATATTTTCCGCCGTTCTTCTTCCTGGTGCCATGGAGCTGGTCTTAGTTCAGTGGCTTCCCCGGTGGTTCTCCTCCTAGAGCGCGGCCACGTGCCGGTCGCAGCCTCAGCTCCCGTCCTGATGGCTCCGCCGCGCCTCACGCCGCCGCGTCTCCATAGCTCTGCCTCCATCCTGGATCGCCCCGCCGTCGCTGTTTCTGCCATCGCCGTTGCCGCTTTAGCTGTCTGCTGCACACCCCTGCGCAGAGGAGGGTGCCCCCTGCCACCTAGTTTATCTACTAGCGAGTATGCTTTACGCTTATGCTTTCGAACCACTGGGTGGGCGGGAAATGGAATGGAATTTGAATTCCCAGAAATCCTGATTTTTTTGGCTCCATTATACCCTATATGGGGACCATTATAGTCAATGGTCCCCATAGGGTATAATAAAGAATCAATCTGGGGGTATCTGGGGCTGGGGGGGGCTGTTTTTTGAGGTAGATGCACCAAATTTGCAGCATAGCTGCTGGTGCCTCTCCTACACCCCCCAATTTTCCCCCCCAAAAAGATTAGACTAGGGGGTCCAATTCTACAGCCCCCTGAAGAAGATGTCCCCATCCTCCATTGAACACCAAAAAAGGTGTTCAAAGGGATTCTGGGCGAGTTCACCCAGAAGGCATTTAAAGGGACTACAATCCTTTAAAACACTCTTCAACTTTGACTATCCAGCGGTCCTGAAAAATTCCAAATATTTTTGGGATTTTTGGGGTTTGGTCATTTCGGAGAGCCAAAAAATAGCCAAATCTATATCCGGCTGAAAGAATATCCAGAAAAGACTGATAAGATATTTCTTGGATATTTTTTATTGGCTTGCAGGCAGGCACCAGAAGTCAGGCAAGGTACGATTGTTCAGTCCAGGGTCAAGGGTCCAGAAGTCAGGCAAGGCAGAGTCATTCAGTCCAAGGTCAGGGGTCCAGAAGTCAGGCAAGGCAGAGTTGGTGGCTTAGCATTATCATAGTTGTGTCAGCATCTAACAGCGTCTCTGGGCTGGTTTTTATAGCCCCATGCCTAAGAGTCATGCTTGGAGCCAACTACTCAGAAACAATCCTGCAACTACTCATTTTTGTTACCAGCAAGCAGCTGGCATCAGGCCAGGAGGCATGCACTTTGACATCTTGTCTGTAGCTCTGTTCTCAGCCTCTGTCTGCAGAGCTCTAAGGGTGTGTGTAATACCAGTGGGCTGGGAACGGGCAACTGAGGTTCACCTGCTGAATCAGGACTGGAGGGTGTCAGTGGCTCTGCACCAGCTGTTGGCTGTGAATCCTGACAAGCCTGCAGCTCATTTTCCTGCTGGTCAGCTTCTGTTAACTCAAGGCTGGCTACATGGGGTTTCTCTTCTCCTGAGGAGTCCTCACTATCGCTGAGCCCTGGCTGACCCACAACATATTTTTTCAGCTCGGATTTAGCCGAATGCACACCCCTAATACTGACACTGTTCCATTGTTCATCTTTGGTACTTATAGCAAGTTTTACATCAGAAGAAGGCAGTAATGTATAACTAATCAATGCATGCTTACTTCACACTGCACTAACTCTAAACCAATAGAAAAGCAATCTATACTTCCTTCTTAACATACTTTTAAGAATACTACTACCTTATCTGTGGTACGCTACCAGGTTTAAGCCAAGGTTTTTTTGCTGATAAAGTACCAAGAATACGCTCTGATCTGGATGTCAATTGAAGAAAGGCCTAATACACCTCCTGGACGATTTATGGATCATTTGACCCAGTTTCCGTGATGGAAGTGGACAAGATCCTGGGCTCTGTGAAAGCACTATTTGTACCTTGGATCCTTGCCCATCCTGGCTGCTAAAATCATGTAACCCTTAGTAAGCTTTAGTATCAGCAAACCCTTAGTATCTATTATAGATCAGTCACTAACTCAGGGCACCTTCCCTCGGCCACTCAAAGAGGTGGTTATCCGTCCCCTACTTAAAAAAAAAAATCCCAACAGAAAAATGATCTGGCCAATTATCACCCAATCTCTAATCTACCTTTTCTGGGCAAAGTTTTTGAAAGAGCTGCAGTGCACCAACTCCAGATCTTCTTGGATAACTCATTTGCTAGACCCTTTTCCGTCTGGCTTCAGGCTGGGCCATATGGGACAGAGATAGCTCTCCTTGCTTTAGTTGATGACCTCCATCTGAGGGTAGACATAGGCCAAGCCTCTCTGTTGCTCTTATTGGATTTATCAGCAGCCTTTGATACAGTAGATCATGCCATCTTGTTGGGGTGCCTGGAGACAGAAGTAGGTATCAGGGGATGTGTGTTGCTGATTGAAATCATTCCTCATGGATTGGATTCAATGGTTGCTATTGGAAACCAGTTGTCATCAGTGTGGGATCTATCTTGTTGGCTTCCACAGGGTGCAATTCTATACCCCATGCTTTTCAGTCTGAAGGTCCTGAATCATTAACTGGCTGCTGTGGTTAACTAGTTAAAAGTAAACAAATTGAAACTAAACCCTGA